GCTTATATCTCGAAAACGGCTTGAGATACGGCAAAACGGTTGAAATTCTGGCAAACGTAGTGGGTGTCAACTTTTGATTATAAACAATATTACAACATAAAAAAATCAAAAAGTAAGAAAAAAATTTAACATTATTTTATATGGGTAGCATGCATTTTATATGGGGGAGCGCACACGAGTTCGCGTGCAAACCTCGCTCGATTTTGTGAATGGATGTGGATTTGAAATAGTAATAGTGTTGTACAATGGTATTGAACATTTATATAGGCTTGTATAGGCCGAGAGCTGGATTTTTAAAAAAGTGGTCAAAAAAAGCTCACCATGTTATTCTTATGGGGAAAACGTGCCTAAAGTGTCATAGGACCATCATATTGCCACTACTTGCATGATTTAGAAAGTCATTAAGCTGGAAAACTGCAATATACTGCAGACTTTTCAGAGAGGTAACTTTGATGTATTCATTCAGCGTAGTGAACACATAATACACAGGAACTTGAACTCTTAGAGAGCCGTTGAATGTTATTAGACTAACGAAAAGGGTTGTGCATGTTTACTAGCACTACCCAGCAACAAAAACAATTTAATTTATCTCTAAAATATATATTCTTAAAGTGCACTGAGCAGCAGCCTAAGAAAATCTATGTAGCTTATATTGACAACTTTATGTAATTGATAAGACTGAGACACCAGACTGACATCCCCCATGTCAAGAAATTACAGCTTTACCAGTAACCCCACAACCGATTCCTCAAAACTGTACTAGAGGGTTATTCATTGGCACAGAAGTACGATATGAACTGACGCGATGTGACGAAGGAAAATCAAACTTACACTGTAACGTATATACCTCCCTTTGAAGATAGAACGTGTGTTACCAACAGATTTTTTTTTCAAATAAAATCATAGATTAATCTGCATTACACTGATGAAATCACCGAAGTGTTTAACTACAAAAGATCCACCAATACGATTTTAATACTATTTAAAGGTTCTTCCAAACGAATATATTGACTAAATGTTATAAAAACGGAAATTAAAATATCTATTAACAATTTAAAATGGGGTAAAATTTTTAGTTTATTAAGAGTGAGATCTGCAGTTATATTGGACTGATTTACATGCAGGTTGTGTTAAATGAAAGGTAATTAACTCTATTTTCACTCTATTTTCACATGTGCCTGAAAAGTTTACTATTCCTTTATATCTTTATACTAAAACACTTTTGCAAAACTTATTACTGCTAGCCTGACCATACTACTGAACCGAATTACACGTGGTTGGTACCAAATGAAAGATATTTTCCTGTAGATTTGCAGAATCCCTTTATAAATTAAAATAGGCTAAAAAATAAGCACAAAAAATGAAATTAAAACTTAAAAAAAATTAACACGGGCCTTATGGGTTGACATGACCTTAACATAACATAACCTTATGAGTTATGTTGGTGACGAAATAACAACAAATTATAAACAGAAAATCAAAACCGATTAAAGATATTCCAATCACATGTTTTATTTACAGTGTGGGCTGAAAATAGAGAAGTTTGCACAATACATACTTTTGGTCGAGTTTTCGACCACGGGGTAAGCTCTCGTAAACAATATTTCATTAGTAAACAAATCAATAATAAACACAGCTGTACCTCCCTGAAATAGTATATTTCGTACCTAGGGCCGAAAATTAAGTTTTGCCGGCTCGAGATAGTTTTTAAGTTCGAGACACTAATGAGCAAGCGGGCAGCTGATATTGCGGCCCTAGGGATGTAAAAACCTGCTCGGTCCCCAAATGACGATTACAGCTGGCATGGCCAACAAAACGTAACTTTCAGCCTCTAATCAACGTATGTAAAACAACTAATAAAATCATAGTGTGGTGAAATAGTTATTTGTGTAACTAGTGGGCAAAGTTTTGCACTCGTGTTACACATTGTATTTTTCCTACAGTCACTATAAAGCATATAAATAATTAGTCTTTCAAACACTATACAACACGTTTTTAGGTTCAGCTGGCAACACAAATGGTGCCCTAGAGAAAGTAGTACCAGCGGTCCGTATCACTCCGCTATTTTTCCTCGGCAAGAAATGAGCTCCGTGTTTTGATAATATAGTTCCGTATGTTTTTGTAATTTGAAGTGGTTTCCGTGCCAAAAAAATGCTTTAAAGGTATTTTCTTGTTTATTAAGATCGTAGGAATTTTTTAAAAACATTTTTAAAAAAATCCAGAAAGTTCAGAAATACCGAAACTATAAACACGAAATGACAGGTTAAATCGTAGTTATAATAGTCAATCAGCTGCTCATAGTATTATTATCTTTAAGTGTTGCCAACCTATTTCCAAGCGTACACGGATTACGTGCATAATAGAACCTCGCTGTTTTGTGTTGTTGCGTTGGAATCCTGATGTGCGGCAAAGTATAAACCGTACGAAAAAGTATAAACCGTACGGCAAAGTATAAATATGCAGCAATTAGCAGCTTTCTGTACTATAAACAGTACAAGGAAGCCAACTTTGTCGGGTGACTGTAGGAAAACAATATTTCATTAGTAAACAAACCAATAATAAACAAAGCTGTACCTCACTTAAAATTAATTTAATAACAACAAGTTTATTGTCTGTTATTTATTTTTGTTCTTGTTGAGTCGCACAGCTTATCTTGTTTTCTTTATAGTTTTTTTCTTATTTGTTGGTCATTCTAGATTATAAGAAGGCTGTAGTCCTAGAACACCAAACATTGAATGCTACTGCAAGTATGAAACGGGTTGTCCGTCAATAAAGAATAAAGGATAAATAGTTTACCTACAATAATAATAATAGTTTTTGGCGGTTCCAGGACCTTGTCAGGGAGGCTGCCGAGGATGTCCCACACATCCCAAGAAAAGAGGGGGGGGGGGTTCAGGGGTCCCTTTCTTGGAGAATTTGGTGTTTTAGAAACACGCCGTTTGATGACTTTCTATAGCCATTTTTAATGTCTAAAACTGTACTCAAAACCTCCATTACATTTGTTGGACGAAATGTATGTTTAAATTTATGTTCCTAAAGTCCAATGTGGGGTTTGAGCTCTGTGACCAGTCCTCTTGGAACCACCACTGTATACCTATGATAATTTCTCAAAGCATGGTATATAAGTCAGCATGCGATTGTTATAAATTACACTGGATTTTATAGGGTTCCCTAATTGCAATAGCTTTAGGTGATTCATCTAGTCAATAAAGATTATTGAATTAACGTTAACTACATTAAATAACATTGTTACTTAGTTGGAGCTTCTAATTTGTTGCCCTCTTACAATACCCATAATCCATAGGTTTACAAATTCCATTCATTGTTAAGTTTGTGGTTTTGCTGGTACTGTAGTCAAGTTGGAATTTATAGTGTGCTCGTTTATTACAAAGACTCTAGAAGTTTTATATTGTCAATAACCGCTATTCATAGGTACTCAGTTTACAAATTCCACTCATTGTTGCGGTTGTGGTTTTGCTGGTAGCTAAGTTGGTGCTTGGCCAAAACAAGGAGGCGCAAAGAGGAGCGCCTCGACAGGCTGCAAATACACTTCGGAGTCTGCTAAAAATACTACAAGAATAGAACCTACCTGCCTTTCTGTGACTTAAAGTCTTGTAGACCATTACTGTAGACAATCTAGACATCCCTAGTACTTCGTGTGTAGTAGTGGAATCTACTTTACATTGTAGAATAGTTTGATTTCATTTATTTAGTGTGGTTAAAGTCGTATTTATTTTGTCGCAATCTTGACAACCTTACTATTCCAAATTGATTGTTTTGCCCATTTTGAGAACCGCATGCTATCCGAATAAATTTTTGGCCTTGATTGCCAAACTTTTTGAATACTAATAGTCAACTAACTTACGATATGCACATTTCACCGCATTACAATCTTCAAGGTTATTCCTGCTATTATACATAATATTTTTGTTTTGATTGTAGAAGACAACATTTAAGAAAATATATACTGTGAGGCTGTCTTTAGAAAAATGTAATTTTATCAAGCATTTTTATAAGAGTAAAAAAATCTATCAATACTATAAGAAAACCTGACACAGCAAAACACATTTTCGTGTAACATCCTTTACCTTTTTGTCTGGTTTAATTTAGGTAATCTCTCTTAATGATAATAATCCAGTAAAATAATAAATTAGTATTTATCAACTAAATCAAATTATTATTACTATTAAATTACGTGTTTTCACTCGTTTATCAATATGTTAAAACAAGGTGTCGTATTATGCCTAACTGGTTATTAGTTTTAAAACCTCAAAATCTATTTAAAATAACCTTAGCTGAAGGTCTGGTTTTGAATTATTTCTGAAATACTGTTTGTCAATTGAAATTTATAGTCATGTGTTAATTTGTTTCAAAATGTAAATAAAGTTTAGTTTGTTGTTTTGTTTAGTAAAGAACACAAGCTCAGTTTTATTCTGCTAAATTTAATCTAGCATTTTGTCATTTCTTAATTTAATATCGTCCGTGATATCACTATTAATTGTGAATCACGTACAGTGACGACGACAAAGTTGTATTATTTTGTTTGTTTGTGATAAGAAAAAGCATATAATTTCGTTTTAACAATAACTGCAGAGACTCTATGGCCTCTAGACGAAGGTATAGGTGTCTCAATTAATTAGTACCATGGGTGTCCTTTATATGACGAATTGCTAATCCCATAAAAGTTAAGAAGTACAAACAACTAATTGTGTAGAAACAGTAGATCATAAATTCGGGCTTTATGTAAACTTTTACTCCACTTTTAATTTTGTTAATTGCCGATTTCATCAACTCAAACAGCATTTATTGGTCAATCACAAAACAGAATACCTTGGAGTGAATATTTTTCATTTTTGATCAAATTTCTGTCCTTTGAATACAACTTATTATTTTAGCTCCACAGAACTATTAAAAATGCCCTTTTTGCATCAGTATGAAGGGAAATACTCGGCATTAAAGCAAAAATAAAACACAATGTAAAATAACTTAAACACGCCAAACAACATATTTACAATCGATTTACTTTACTATCTTTTATACAAATGCACATACTTTCTAGACATCCATACATAGCAAATATACACGTTTTTACATAATGGTCTAAAACTTACTAAACATGTAAATTTCATTGAAAGCTTGAATAAATTCATATAAAAAATGTGTGAGCTTCCATTACAATTAAAAACACGTTTTAAAATCACACAGTTTAGAAAGACACCTGTTTCTTCTCCGAGGACTGTTTGACAGTGATCCTCTTAGTGACTTTGACAGAAGATGCTGATGACGAGTCTTGAGAGTCGTTCTCAGCCATCAGAACCTTCAGGTCAGCTATCCTCTTCTGTCGAGCTGCGCTCTTCCTATCGAGCTCCTCCAGCTCTGCATCAATATCCTGTAACCTCGCCCTGGACTTCCTGGCCCTCGCGGTTGCTGAAGACTCGTTAGAAGCGTCCTCCGCATCCTTCAACGCCTTCGCCGCCGGGTTCACCACCGTCCACTTGGTCATCGAGTCATCATCCTCCTCGAAGAATTTCTTCGCTGCCCTCTTGTGTTTGGAATACACATCCTCCTCAATAGACCTTTGAGTTTTGCTATTGAGTCCGACGCTGTCCAAAAGTTGGTCTGCGAGATTGATCTTGTTCTTCCTGGAGGAAGAAGCGATGCTGTCGAACTCTTCTTCTAACTCTGCGTTCCTCGCTTTCCTGGCGTTTCTGATCTTCTTCATGGTGGCTTCGAACTCCGCGTCGGCGTCTTCGTCGTCCCTCAACTGTGATGCTCTGTTCTTGTGTGATGACTCGAATCCGTTTTCGAACTCCGCCATCATTCTGGTAGCTCTGGCGCCCACCGACTCTCTACCGGTCGACGACTCCCTGTCCATCAGTCTAGATACCCGGGACGCCGGGGTGGAGTCCCGCTCGTCCAGTGGAGACACGGGGTCCAGGCTGGAGTGTCCGTGTTTGCGGTCCAGGCTGTCCATGACGGGTTTGTAGTAACGTTCTGCCACGTTGAAGTTGCAGTCGTACACCTTGGTCCGGGGTCGTCTCCATCTGCTGGCCATCTTGTCTGGAACATGAGAAAATAAGGTCAGCCAAGTAGAACTCTAATAAATGTAATTTAGTCTTACCTTTGTAAGTATATGAGAGGTTCGCGCTTTGTATGGTTTTTGATCAATCATATCTGTTATATTTTAGAAATGTCTACATTTTCCATGCAAAAATTGAACTAATTGTTAAGTAGAATGAAGATCTTTAAATTTTCATGTTCATAGTATGTATACAGAAAATGTCTGAAGAAAATTATGATAACAGACATCAGTAAAGTGTTAAAGAAGTAGTAAGTAAATATAATGTTTAAAACCTCATAATACAGCATTGTGTCGTTTATAAAATATTCGAACTAGGAGTGCTAAACATCCCCGGCTTCAATTCCCTTAGCTCGTATTTCAAAACCTGAATGTCAAAATAATACTGATTCTATATTTTTTTCTAAAAGATTTGTGTGAGTTTAGCGGCACTGAACTCGGTGGTAAAGAGTGCTATGACAAAGTCAACAATTATTTTCATTTAGCCTACAAATGAAGAAGATACTTCAATCAACCAATCCAGATCGTTCAAATACACTTAAAATACACTTCAATCGTGCTTGGTATATATCAGGCATCACCCTTAAATTTCCATGGTTCCAATTCCAAGTTTTTTTGTGCTTGAAATATTTCTCCCTTGTAAAAGTGAAGTTTTGATGTTACTCGATGTATGAACACCAGGAATAAAGTGTAACTGTAATATTTAGTTAACTGTAAGTTAATTCGAAAATCTTGACATCAGGAATTGTGAATTTTCATATTCTACTGTACTTTGTCGTCGATGTAACCAGCCGGTCAAGTAGACGATCACTTTGTCTGGCAGGCTGCCTTTGACGCACGTGTCTCGGCGTCACCAGAACCGTCAAATCTGGCAGCTTCTTATGTTTTACATGCTTCTGTTTGGCAGCTGTTGTTTACTACCCTATCAGCGTGGGAAGGGATGCTTACGTAACTAAAATCAAGTCGTGAAATGGGTTTGTTGTGTATAAAATGAATAAACCTCGTTCAAATTCGTCGAGATGATTGTAATCTGCATTAAAGCAAAGGGTAAATAAGCTCCTCTAAGGATTTTACATCCTTTTGGATGATCTGAAGATGATTTTAAGTATCTTGATGTTGATGATTGACTACCATGGTTAAAGTAGCCTGTGAAATCTTTGTCACCCGAAGATGAATATTCGACAAATTTTAGGTATGTTACTATCAAGTGTGTAGAGTGTGTTTTGATTACAACCATCGATCTCTATTATTTCAAGAATCTCTTCAGCTGATAAAAAACGAAAAATACAAAAGTACAGTACATAAATATAGATCCCAATTAATGTTTTACACAACTTATTGGGAAATTAAGTGACGCAATAATCAGTTGGGTCATGAATTAAGGCCCCACTAGAAAAACGTGTAAAACGTGGTAAGACCATTGACTATTTATAGTAAAACGCACGTCTGTTCTAATATTCTTGTGTAAAACAACTGTTCCAGACTAGAGCCGACGTCCTGCGATGTGAAGGGGGCACAAAAAATAGATCGTGCCATGGTGTTGTATTAAAAAATTATATTTTTGTGTTTTAGAGGTGGGGATGGGGAGAATTTTACCAACATTGTCTTTGTGTAAGTTCTGTTATATTTTACACACTCCATAGTCCAAACTCCAAGGAGGTCCAACTTTAAGGAAACTGTAACTTACAACACTTCCGCGATTTTATGGCCCCAACGAGCTCAAACATGCCCTAGTGTTGTAAATTCGCCACGCAAATAAACACTAATCAGTGTCATTGACCTTTAAAATCAGAAATAATCGACTTTGGACCAAGTGTAAGAGAATAATAGAAGATGTTTGCCAGAAACAGATTTAGAGCGAGCGCTGCCTGACCTCATCTTACGGTAATTTTACACCGACCCCAGTGACTTACTGACCGACATATCCCCGATTTACATGATTTACTACTAGTGTCACTGAAAAAGATGTATGATTGGTATACTCAACTCAGAGACGTCCTCGGGACATCGTGCTAGGTTACAGAACTTCAAAAGCTAAATTATAGTACAGTAAAATGTAAAAATTCATAGTTTCACACGTTAAGTTTTACAAGCTATAAGTTTTGTATATCCAAGTGCAGTTTCCACATAACCCTTTGAACCATGCCCTCGCGCCTGCACCCAGACTAACGAAAAGGAAGCGTGATCCATGCGCAGGCCCGAGGAGCGGCTCACAAAACTTTACATAACAAAATGAGAACCATGGATGGAGGCTCAAGAACAACACGCCATTTGAGAGAAACGAGCTGTAATTAACCATTTAAAAAAATAACACAACAATAACATCAACAACAATAATTAACAATAATACATGAATTAAATACTCTCAATTAAACTTTAAAAAATTTGATACCCGTTTACCCTACTAACTTACAATTATTTCATTAATCATTTTCAAATAGGCTAAATTTCAAAAATAAATCTTACTAGCTTTTACCTTTCAAAAAACTTTAAATTAACAAATTACAACATGATATATATAATGACTCTTTTAATAAATTCATTTCATCTGGTAACTATAGAAACTTTAGGGGCCCCAAATTAGAATTCAATAGAATATTTAATAAAATTATAAAATTTAAAAAAGATCAACAAGTAGCCTAGGCTAAAGAATTTAAAATTTAAAAAGAAAAACAATTAATAAATCTCTGTGCACAAATTAACAAATAGGTAACGAAATCTCCAAGTCCAGGACGGTGGTTAGCAATAATTAATTAGGCCTAAAACTTGCGGAATTTGCGGTACTAGTTCATGTTTCTGGGCGAGCAGCACCGGAGGGGAAGCAGGCATGACGGAAGAGGGGGGCCAAGATCCAGGGGTGGCCAAGAGTTGTAATTCCCACTCCGCCAAGGCTGATGCAGACTACCGGTACTCCATGTTCCTCCTCACGGGCCCCATCAAGCGCGCTGGGCGCTCTTAATTTACTGCATAGTAGAGAATATCTTCACACAAGTAAGGAAAAGGCAAAAATACAACGCAAACATACTACAAAATTAAGATGAAAGACGATGCAAAATTTATGCCGATGCAGCGCTAACGAAAGTCTCGGAGCCTCTGAATCGTCGGCGGTGGGAGTAATAAGAACAAAACCCACAGCCTTGTTCGGGGTCGTGGAGTGAGAAACACTGAACTAGCCTACTATAAAAAAAACACTTGAACCATTGATCATGAGTCGTGACATTCGCCCGGTGGAAATAGTCACGGCTCAACCTCCCTCCCCAAAAGAGGACACTCCTCTCCAAAAGGGACAAACAAACAAGCCTCTCCCCCACTTCCTGAAAAGAGAATGACCTGAAAGACAACTCAAGTGTCTGTGGTGGGGAACGCCAAGGGACTTCCAAACTGGGGGGAAAACTCACCCCCAGGGTTTGCTCTGGCCAGAGCTGGAAAATTTTGTGAGGGAAATTCCTTCGCAGAACACAGGGGACAGGAGAAGTGATCAGGTTCTCTGGCCCAGTGCACTTCCCACCCAGACACAAGAGGAAAGAAAATTGCCTACGGAAGAGTTCCGCGGAAGGGCTTGAGATGAGAAATGTGCGCCCTCCGGAAAACTTTTCCAGTCCGCGGATCTCCAAGCTCCGCCGTGACAGGCGTCAAAAACCTCAGGATGCGGTTGGGACCTGACCACCGATGACACAACTTTGCAGCTCTCTTGTCCACAGCCGAACTGGCTGGATGAGCTTTACAAAACACCAAATCCCCCACCTGGAAAGGGTTGTCAACTCTACCACGATTGTGCTTCCTCCGGACCAATTCCCTAGCTCTGATCAAGTTTCTCCTGGCCGCTTGCCAAGTTGCCTTGACATCAGCCGCACCAGGAGGTGGCAGAAGGTCGCCAATTCCCCACACATTCGCTAACGGGTTGTTAGGCGGATAGCCTAGAAACAGCTCGAAAGGGACCGCCTTGTGACTCTCATGGTGAGCAGTATTGAAAGCAAACTGAAGCCAAGGGAGTTCCTGATCCCAGGTGGTCTGCTTGTCAGCATGGAAAGCTATGAGAGCGGAGCGAAGATTGCGAATGAACCTTTCAGCATGAGAAGGCTGTGGATAGTAAGGGGAAGTAGTCACATGGCGGATTCCGTGCCCAAAGCACATTCTTTTGAACAGATGGGAAACAAACTGTGTTCCGTTGTCGGAAACAATGGTGGCGGGTATTCCAAAATGTTGGAAAAGGTGAGTTCGAAGTACCTGCACGGTGAGCTGTGCAGTGGCATTCCTTAAGGGGAAAAGCCAACAAAATTTGGAGAAGGCATCCACACAAACAAGTAGGAACTTATTTCCTGACTTGCTACGCGGGAGAGGCCCTACATAGTCAATGAAAACCTTCTCCAAAGGTCTTTCCGCCACCTCAGATGACAACAAACCAAACTTAGAGTTTTGAGCGGGCTTGCTCAGTGAGCACGTTTGACAAGAACGCACCCTAGCAGCAAGATCCCGATCCATACCCTTCCAGATGAACATTTCCCTAACCTTCGCAATGGTCTTGTGGATACCTAGATGCCCACCCACAGGAGACGAATGAAAATACTCAAAGACCATAGGGATTAGAAGACTAGGCAGCACAACTTTAGGTTTACCTCGCTGCCGAGCGCGACAGCAAAGGGCACCCTGGGACAGAAAATATGGGGGGTGGGCTCCCCCATTTTGAAGCTCACCAATGATCTTTGCCAGCTCAGGATCCTTCAGCTGATGGGGAATGAAATCAGAAAAGGCGAGTGGAAACTCCAAGAGCACGGCACAACCCGGTTGCTCTTGGTCAGAAGGATGATCGTCGGGTGAATGGTACATCCTAGATAGTGTGTCAGCAATCACATTCTGAGTGCCTCGAACGTGTTGCACTTGGAACTTAAGGGACGATATTTGGACAACCCAACGACCAATTTTCCCAAGCTGGCGTGGATGTGCAAGAAGCCACGAGAGTGCCTGGTTGTCGGTTTCCAAT